TCTATCTATCTATCTATCTATCTATCTATCTATCTATCTATCTATCTATCTATCTATCCAACACAGAATGATATAGTTTCATGAACCCTGGGACAAAATTCCAGGAATCTCTATCTAGAGACATTGGCACTTGGTACAGGAGTACCCAAAGGTGCCTGAATCCGACTCCAGACACCCACCCCAAACCATGCAAAGAAAAAGGAGTTCAAGGAGGGTGCTCAAGAAAAAAAAGAAAGGAATTCATAAAGACTTCTCTCTAAGCTTCTTCACGATGTTCTTCACGATGACAACTGAAAGTCAAGGTTCCCACGAGGCTCATTCTTTCCTTGACGACCTATAGGGTGTCCTGCCTCCTACTTATCTCTACCCAAAGAAATGCCAGTAGGAGCAACAGACTCCCCAAGTGTAAGGAAGACCCACTGGACCAGTTTGAGTCAGCTGGTCTAACAACGATCACACATGCCAAAGAAAAAGAGTCAAACGAAATGTGGGCAGCATGTGTATGAGCTGGAGAGCATCTGTCAGCAGTATGTGGGTGAATAAGGCAGCCCACCTATAGGCAGCATTTGAATGATAGGACAGCATACCTCAAAATAAAGGAAAATACCTCAGAAAGCAGAATCTAGACCTACCACCATAATCCAAGTCATGTTCTCAAAGAGCCCCATGAGTTAATATTATCTAACAATTGTGTAACATTGTGAAAGTAGGTAAAACATAAAGCAAGCAAAAAAAAAAACCCCAAGATATAGTAAAATAATATCACAAACGAAAAGTTTGAAGTTACCTTTTTGTATGAAGTTTGACAATGTAAGGGTGTTAAAAAAATATGATTTAAATATTGCTAAAGAAAATTTGGGGGTAAATAGCATATGTTCAAAAGCTACAGAACAGAAATTCGATGAGGTAAGATAAAAGACAATGAACCCTATACCCCTGGGTAAAAGACAATACTGTCAAGTTGAAGGAACTAGGATCATCCAGAAGACAAACTCCAGGAGTATCTGTGAGTAAGTTTCCAGATTAAATGAGGTAGGAAGATCTACCCTAAATGTTGGTGGAACCATTCCTTGGGCCAGAGGCAGAGATCAGTACTAAATGAGATGTCTTTATGAATCACCCCCCTCGAGGCTAAGGGATCTATGCAGAAGAGGATGCAAAATGACTGTAAGAGCCAGAGGTGATGGATAACCTCAAGGAATTGGAACCATCTAGACACAACAGGACTGATACAGGTGAACTCAGAGAGACTGTGAGAGCATGTACAGGACCTGCACAGGTTCAAACCAGGCATGCTCCCAGAGGAAAGAAGAGGAAGTAGCCATAACATCCCACCCCTAAACATAAAATTATCTACAATTGATAAGCACTAGGAAAGCCAAAGTCTGTTTTCTCAAGTGGGATCTCACTGGGTATATTAATCACACTTCAGGACAAGTCCCATGTCCGAGAGTAGATGGCCAACACAAGATGGACTCCATGTGTTTCTGAGCAGTTTTTGTTTTGTTTTGGTATTTTTTGTCTTATTGTTGTTTTTCAATTTTTTTTTCAGTTTTGATCTTTTATTTGAGAGAGAGGGAAACAACATGAAGCTGTCTGAGAAGGAATGTAGAGAGAATCTGGGAGAAGTTAGGAAAGGGGAAAATATATATTCAAAATACATTCTATGAAACAGATTTTAATAAAATAATATTTTTTTAAAAAGAAGAGGCAGAGAGGTGGCCACCAGCAGTCATCTTTCTGTTTCCTGATTCTGGAAGCAATGTAACCAGCTGCCTCATGCTTCCCTGCTACCAGGACTTCTCACCATAATAGATGGCATCCTCAAACAAGCCTACCTCTTCTCACGTCACTTTTGTTGGGCATTTTTATCACAGCAGCAGGAAAGTGACTAATACAAACACAGGGGAGGAGCTTGGCCGAAGGGGACAGGTTTTCAGGCCAGAGATGCAGAGTTACCTACGGAAGACTGTGGCAGAATCCTCACAGTCAGGAGGGGCCCATCCTTCCTTGCATTGACACTGCAGCTCATGGTCACACACCTAGTGGAAGAAGGATGCTGTGTCACCATGAGACTTAGAGTACCATCCAAGGCCCCATTCTTTCACAATGAAGTTGATTTTGACATGAGAAGGACCCCTGCGGTGAAGTATTAATGACAAGCAAAGATTTCACTAATGGCCTCTGGGAAGCAGTGGCCCATGCTATATACTCCCGAGTGTCAGACAAACATGATAGCTGTGGTCGCTGAGCACCGAGTGTATGAGTTCAGCTTTATCGCAACAGAACTGAAATGGCATAAGGCTTATCAAACTGGGGATAGCTGCGTTCCAGACTTACTGCATGCCCCTTGCACTTCAAGGAGCAGTTGGTTGACTTGTATGTCTTCTCCATGTCCACACACTCTGCATTAATGCACACCTGAAACGACGTGGAAACATGAACTCAATGCAGCGCTTCTAGCGCTTCCACCTCTGTCGATGACTGACTGGAATGAAGTCTTAAAATTCTTACCAATTCTCTATCATCAAACGCATCTTCATAAAAGAATTTTTATTAGTTCCCTGTTCCTTGAGAATTTCCAACCTGTTCTGATTGTATTTCCTCCCCCAACTTTTTTCAAGTCCAGGCCCAACCCAGCCCTATGATATCTTTAAAACAAAAAATCAGAATCAATTTATGTTGTCCAAAATGTTCTTGAATGTGGGGCCTTCCACAAGAGTGTCATCAGCTTTCCAGGGGGTATAATTTTAGAGAAAATTGTCTCTTCCATTAGCCATCAGATGCCAATCATAGGTCAGCGAGAGGTGGAGCTTTGTGCCCACCTCCCCACGGTTTGTTAGGATTGTGTCTGGTTGAGCTTACACTGGTCTTGTTCAAGCTGTCACAACAGCTCTGAGTTCATATGTGCAGATGGCCTGCTGTGTCTACTTAAGATTTCTTACTATTATCCTGATCTATGTGTCTGTGAGTGAATGTCATATGTATGCTGGTGGCTGCAGGGGCCAGAAAGGAGTTTGAGGTCCCCTAGAATTGCAGTTTTATGCAGTTAGGAGCTATATGGGTTTGGGGAACTCTGAAATAGCAGCAAGAGCTGCTAACCACTGAATTAACAGCAACCAAACTCAACATTTTATTAGGCAAACTCTAGCAGGTTTTCAGATAGAACAAACTATCATTTTTAGTATATAGTAAAATATTTAGAAAGCCATCTTTAAGATGACCTTTGCTTCCTTCCTGATAGGTAGTTCTTCTCACCTATCAGCTCCTCTCATTTGGCGCTATTACTGAGCACAGAACTAAGCACTGATGTAATGAACATCTGGAAGGCAGTGCTGTGATCCCATTACACATGATGCTACTACAATAACTACTGTGAGAACAAAGTAAATGCCATACTTCTTCTTCTCTGTGTTATTATGAGAGGCACTGCCATTGACTGGGCACCTGCCAGTTTTGAAGCACAGGAATGAACAAAGTTTGCCATTATGAGCCTGAATTACTTCACTCACAATAATTTATTTCATTTCTCCCAATTTATGTGCAAGTCTGGTGCTTTCAATTTTCCTTGCCACGAATATTCCATTTTATATAGATCTTGCAGCTCTGTTCATGAACACCTAGGTTCCATTTTCTAACTATTGTGTAGAGAGTGATAATTAGCATGGGTATTTAAGTATCTCTATAGCAGGATACAACTTTCCTTTGTGTTTATGCCCAGGAGTGCTAGAGTTGTTTCAGTTTCCTGCATAAGGTCTACATAAGATCAATCCAACCAACATTCCTGCATGGATGTAGTAGATGAACTTCAGTCCCAATCTTTTATCAGGGAGCTATTGGCAATTGACAGTTCTGGAGAAGAGAGAGTTGTTTTTCTATGAGTGTGTGACAACTGGTGGATTTCATGTTCCAGTGTATTATATGGCCCCCTATCCTTGCACCTATAAGCAACACTAATAGTACTTAGTGAGCTATTAAAAGGAGAAGGAGGAGTAAGATGATGAAGGCGGGGGAATAACAATGAAGTCATAAGGGGAAGTGTTGGAGAGGATACTGGGAGAGTTGGAGGGAGAAATGGAGGTGTATCTGATCATATTTCACTGCATACATGTCTGAAATTCTCAAAAACTAAAAATGAAAGATATAAATACTAAAATATTTACCAAGTTTGATAACATGATAAAAACATATCGCGGGCACTAATTAAACACTATCAGAGAGATGGGTGCAGGTATGCACAAATCAGAGGCACAAACACGTGAGCATGAAACTCTGTGGAAGATAGCAGGTGGTCACAGGTGTTGGCTGTGGCTCTGTTCTCATTCTTTTCTCACATTTAGATTTCTTGTATGATTGTCTTTGAATAAAATGCTCTGTCAAAAGCAAATGGGAAACTTTCAACCGTAAATATTCAAATGTATTGAAATAGAGTTCAAGGTTCATTACTAATCTAAATTGTTTGGCACACAAAGAAGATGGTTGTGGACACCTGACTTTATTAATACAGTGGGTATATAAGTGCTTTCTCGTATGATAAAAGCTTTTCTGTGTCCTGTGAGTGAGTTTAAATAAACATCAGCCACCATGGTCCTTCCCTGTCCTTTATTAGGTACACTGCAAGCGATTGGGTGGTAAAACTTTGAACAATGAAAACCCACGACACGTCAGTGGTCATAACTATGCCTCAGTAAAATTTCCTTTTGTTAAGAAAAGGTGCACAAGGGACAGGCATGTGCTCCTGCAGTGTTGGATGGTGAGCACTCTGTATGAACGTGCAGGGCAGCATACTGGAGATGGCAGGCGGCAAGGAGAGACACTTTCGGTCCTTGGTGGTGGCATTACATCACTGGGTTTACCATGCAGGCTGTTGTTTCTCTGAACTTACCACTGTGTGAGATAGTAATTGTCCTAATTATTTCAGCCTCTGTTATATTTTCCTCTGTTCCTCTACATCCTATATCGTCCTAGCAGTGTGTGTACTGTGATAACAGAAGTTGTAATAAACGGTACTGAGCTAAAATCCAGGTATGCGTGTGGGTGTGGGATAATGAATTGTGGAAGCACAATTTCAACTTGCCTTGTTTTGTCCGCACTTGGTTCCGTTAGCCACCATGCCAATTCCTTGACTGGTGTCTTCAGGAGCAAATAATTTACATGTCAGAAAAGATACTGTAAGTCCTTTCCATGGCAGATTACGTGACCCACCTTCACAGAACAACTTCCCACACATGGCATCTCTACAAACAACAGCAACAACAACAAAATCAAAAACTTTATCCCAAGATTCAAATTTCAGTCTTATACAAAAGCAAACCAGCTTTTGCTTATCAATATTTAAAAAATAACATTTCCCTAATAGCAGTGACTTCTGGTTGTACCTATGTACAATGTCCTTATTCTGCACTAATAGGGCCCTCAGATATTAGCAAAATGTGTTGCTTCTCAAATACAGATCCCTTTACAGCTAATTTTTGCCAATTGTCTAAGTTGTGGCTAATAGGGGTGGGGGCAGAATCTTAGGCCTAAATTCTAGAAGGTAGCTTTGAATAAGGGAGCACGCCCCATTTCTGGGCATTTTTTTCCCTCAGTTTAGATGATGGAAAGTGTGTTGGTTTTTATCAACTTGACACAAACTGCAGTCACCTAGGAAGAGAATATCTTAATGAATGAATTGTCCCCATCAGCCTGGTTTATGGGCATGTCTGGTTAATTAATGGATTAATTATTGATGCTGGAGGATCCCTGTCCAGGCAGGGAGTAGTGGGGTGTGTAAGGAAGCAAACTGAGCAAGTCATGTGGAGTGGAAACAGTAATTAAAACACCCCCATGGCCTCTGCATCAGCTTCTGCTTCCAGGCTCCTGCCTGCAGTTCCTGCTCTGACTTCCCTCAGTGATGGACTGTATCCTGGAAGTGTAAGTCAAATAAATAAATAAATAAATAAATAAAAAGAAAAAGAAAAAAAAAGAAAAAGAAAACGCTTTACTGAGTCAGGTAAGCCAGACCCAAAAAGAGGAATAAGGTATGTATTCACTCATAAGTGGATTCTAGCCATAATTAAAGGTCTTTGAGCCTATTATTCGTGATCCTAGAGAAGCTAAATAAGAAGGTGAACCTGAAGAAAATTCAGGTAGTTTTCCTCCTGGAGATTGGAAATAGACAAGAGTTCCAGGTAACCACGGGTGTATGGGGGGTTGGGAGGGTAGTTGGAAGGGGAGAGGGTTAGAGAGAAGGGAGCCGGGAGGAATGGGGAATGCTCGGGGGACTGGGAGGGGGGGAGGGAGGAAGGATAGATATGGGTTCAGGGAAGAATATATCTCAACTATGGAAATCAGTTTAGGGTTTACTAGAGACTTGACTGTAAATAGGATCCCAGGTCTAAGGAGAGATTCCCAGATTGTTCTCTGGACAGAGGAGAGGGTGCCTGAACTGGCCTTGGCCCATAACCATACTGATGAATATTTTGCTTATCACCATAGATCCTTCATCTGGCAATGGATGGAGATAGGGATGGGGACCCACGTTGGAACACTGGACTTAACTCCCTAGGTCCAAGCGAGAAGCAGAAGGAAGAAGAACGTGAGCAGGGAGGGCAAGATCAGAGGGAACCTTCATCTGGCGATGGATGGCGATGCAGACGGAGACCCATATTGGAGCACCGGACTGAGCCCCCCAAGGTCCAAAGGAGGAGCAGAAGGAGGAAGAACATGAAAAAGAAAATCAGAACCGCAAGGGGAACGATCACCCACTGATACAAGGGGAATGATCTAATGAGAGTTCAATGCCAGTTGACTGGGACTGAAGGAGCGCTTGATCCAACCAGATTCGCTGGCGGAGGCTGGATTCCCTGAATGTGGCTGGCCCGAAGTCTTTCTAAAAAGCCATTGACAATGACTCTGGGACTTGTTTCCTCTGCATATTCTGGATTTTTGGAGATCCAGTCTGTTTGGATACTCACCTTCCTGGTCCTGGAGGGAGCGGGGAGGAACTTGAACTACCCACAGGGCAGGAAACCCTGACTGCTCTTAGGGATAGAGAGGGAAGAGGAGAGGGAGTGGGGGGAGTGGAAGGGTGTTGGGAGGAGGGGCGAAAATGGAAACTTTTATATTTTAATAATAAATAAATAAATAAAAACAAAAAAAACAAAGGCAGCTTTGGGTCAGTGTTTCATCACAGAAATAGAAAGCGAACTGGGGCTGGATGTGATAGGTGGAGATGGTGACGCAACCACTGACTGAGGGAAGAGCTTGCGGACGGAGCTAGAGGATACACAGAGGGCAGGTCCCTGACTTCACATGGGGGCCTAGACAGTCATTTATTTGTACTTTTTTACTTCCCTCAGATAAACTCGATAAAAGACTCAGTTTTCCACAACAGAGTGGCCTACACAGAGCCAGAGATCTCTTGACAAATCCAAGCAGTCCGTGTGGCCCTCAGAGCTCTCCCTCTGAATCTGCAGGCTAAACTGTTCAACACTCAGGGAAGCCATCCACTGACCACCAGAAAATTCAAGATAGCCAAAGCCAATATGGTCGCAGTTAAGTGCTTTATGCGAAATTTGGAGAATGTCTATGAGCAAGTTGTCTAGACGGGAGAGGACGGGCTTTTCTGTTACTGCCTGTGGTTGGAGAAAATAGGGTTGGTAAACTTAGGAAGTCCCAGCTTCTTCAGACTCCACATGGGTGTTCTTCAATAGTCAGAGGCTGATTCATGATAAGCCTGTAAGGATGGTGCTGGGCACAGGCAGTGGTGGAGGTAACTGCCCAACACAAGCCATGACTATTAAGTGACAAGACGGTGTCTGGAAGAAGACAAAATGTCTGAGCATCTTAATTATACTCATCTTCTGTTAACACAGCTATCAAGGCAAAGAGGATACTTGCAGGCTATAAAGGAGGGATGAACCAGCCCTACTCTCTTCCCACCCTATGGACTGCTTTGCTGAGCCTGTGTATGGCCTTTTTTATAGCTGTTTCATTTTAGAATCTGCTCTGCGTTCCTATAAAGGAAAAGTCACATGACAAAGTTTGCCCTTTAGGCCCAGATCCCCTCAATAGGTCTCTACATCCCAACTAATTTGTTAATATTAATTATCTAGCAATGTCAGTGCACAGTAGGAAAGCTTTGAAAGATGCTCCTGCTGTGCAACTTTTTGTTACAAATTCTGACTACCAAATGTGGACCAGGCATGAAACATTTGATCCACTATTAAACACCTTAGGGGGCAGGAGAGACACTTATTTGTTAATAGAAAACCAACTAGGGCTGCTCTTTCACAGTATGAGAGTTCTGTTTCCAGAAGCACCCTTGTAACTCCGACTTCAGGGGATATGATGCCCTCTCCTGGCCTCAGGGGGCACCTGCACAAATGTAGCATACACATACACAAACACACCTTAATGCCTATAATTAAAATTGAATTGAAAAACAAAATATTTGAGTTGAATTTGAACTTAAAGTGGAAGAACACACACACACACACACACACACACATATGTATATATAAAATCTCAAGTTTATCTGGCATATTTTTTTACCTTTCTTTCAGGATATCAATACTGAAATTAAAATTAGCACTTCAGGTGACTTGTTAGCTATATATCATAGTATAGTCTTTCTCATGCAAATGTCATGTCAAATTTTATATATATTTGACATGACATTATATATAATATATAATATTATATAATATTATATATATATATATATATATATATATATATATATATATAATGGTTGTTTCTTTGGGTAGATAAACATTTCTACCCAGAAACTCATAATGAAAAACGCCTGATTAAAAAAGTATCTTTTAAGATATTTTTCTAGATATATTTATTTTAAGTGTATGTGTATGTGTGTGTATGTGTGTGTGTGTGTGTGTGTGTGTGAGAGAGAGAGAGAGAGAGAGAGAGAGAGAGAGAGACCACTTGGTCTGCAAGTATGTATGTATATGTACCATTTGAACAAGGAAGTCAGAAAAGGGCCTTGGTTCCCCTGGAACTGTAGCCACAGGTGGTTGGAAGCCTCCATGTAGGTGCTAGAATTAAACCCAGGTCTTCTGTGATAGCCACAAGTGCTCTTAACTTTTGAACTATCTCTCAATCAGACATCATTTTCTCTTGAACTAGAATTGGCCAGGATATGTAGGAGAAAATGTGCCATTTTCCCAGTGAAGACTGTGGGGAAAAGATTCAAACAATATGGCCACTTACTTTGCTTTGCAGGGCACGTGCGAGCCATTCTCTATGCGACAGTATCCGTACTTTGAGCCACCTTCATTGTGCTGGTAACATGACTGATCTGCCACCTTGGTTCCTGGAATCAGGTGCAGATGAACATGACACACGTGAAGAAAAAATAGGTAAGAATGTGACTCCATATAATATAACCAAAATATAAAGTTAGCATTAAGAGTGCAGACTGAATAGCCCTTATCCAAAATTCTTGAGTTTGGAAATATTCTGGATTGCAATTTTTTATACTTAAAGGTATTTTCATATATACCTTGAGGAAGCTACAGAATAGGACCCACCCCAAACGTAAAATTCATTTACTGTTTCATGCATACTTTAAACACACAGTTGCCATCATTTTACTCATTTTTAGAGTGTCTGAGCTTTAGCCTGTTACATGAGGGTCATAGGTAAATGCTGACATTCAAGTTAATTTTGTATTTTGGAGCACGTAGTATTCAGCCTTTTGAGGTCAGGGCTATAGGTTTGTGTTATTTGGGCAAACCTCTATTGAGAATTTGCAGACACAAGCCTCAATAATTTAATATCGGAGGAGTTAAGTGGAATTTAAAATGATCTTTTAAATATTCTGTTAATAATTTGGATATTTGAGAAAATCTGTATGAGTTGCTGAGGGTTAAAAAAATTTCATCCACAAGCTAGAAAACATTATTTCGAGTGAGGTAACCCAGACACAGAAAGACAGTTATCACATGCATCCACTTGTAGGTGGTTTTTAAACATAAAGCAAAGGAAACCAGCCTACAAATCACAATCCCAGTGAACTTATACAACAATGCGGACACTAAGAGAGACTTACATAGACCTAATGTACATGGGAAGTAGAAAGTAGAAAAAGACAAGCTCTCCTGAGTAAATTGGGAGCATGGCGACCTTGGGGGAGGGTTGAAAGGGGAGGGGAGAGGCAGGGAGGGGAGCAGAGAAAAATGTAGAGCTCAATAAAAATTAAAAAATGGAAAAAAATTTCATCCAAATAAAAGAGTTTGCCAGAGAGCTGTTGTCATTGCGTCATTATAGTAGAGGCCCACAAGCATTAATAATCAACTACAAAATGCAGCCACAACAGCTAGCAGTTATGTTTAACCAAGTGCCTCCTGTGTGCCAAGCACAGTGCCAAGAAGCTCTCCCTCCACTTCCCATGGAATCAACCTCAGATGGCCATCAGACGGGGCACAAAGCTCAGCAGTTAAGAGTTCAGGCTTTAAGCACAACTTAGCTACTACTTGACCTACTTTGAACTTAACCACTGAGCTTGCTCCTCTATAAAATGAGGGTGTGTGATGTGATGTGATGTAGTCCATAACTCATAGGTTTGATGAAATAATTAAATAAGCTGATATGTGTAAGCCACTGAGAACAGGGTGGCCACTGAGAACAGAGTAAGGCCCGTTCAGTAGTGTGTGGGTTCTTACTGCTGTTCTCAGTAGGTTATCAATAAGGAAATGGAGACTCACCCCAAGTCACACAGGAAGATAAGATGCCAACTTCACCCACCTCTCCCCAAGCCACAACCTCAGCCCCTGACTTGTTACCCCACTCAATGATCAACAATTCTTAAACTCTAGCAAGCTGGATATAAGCCTCTGAGGGACAATTAACAAAGTAAAACAAGCAAAAACTTAGGAAGAGTTTCCTCTATTTTTCAAGAAATAAATATGATGTTGATTTATAAACTTGAAACATTTTTTAACGAATTTCATGTTTTACTTATTCAAGGTGATAAAAACATTTATGAATGTATTTCTTGGATTATTTGGGTCTTAGTAACATATTAATACCTTATTATAACAATATAGATATATTCTGGAACAAGTAATTTCATGTACAAATAAGGGTAACATCATAACCAAAATCCCTAACTTCTGAGTTATGAATTCTAATATTTTTGAAAGTATCATTCATGCACCCACCATCAAGTACCTTCACAGATACCTTACCCAAACCAGTAACACTGTGCTTTCCCTAGGTTTAAACATTCTACAGTACAAGAGAAACACAGGGCTGGAGAGAAGGCTCAGTGGTTAAGAGCACTGACTCCTCGGTGCCTCACGACCATCTATAGTGGGATCTGATCCTCTCTCCTGGAGTCATGCAGATAAAGCACTCATGTGCATTAAATAAATAAATAAATCTTAGAAAAAAAGAAGAAACAGGACCAGTGTTAGATTAATGCACTATCATTTGTTTGATCCATCTTTATTCATGGATTTTAAATTTCTCTTCAAATACTCATCACCGTAAAAACAGTATTGGAGGAAAATTTTTCATTGATAAATATTTCAGAGTTCATCTGCTAAGGGAAAGGAGGTCACAGCAGTGCCTTCGGTTGTGTGTCTAGTTTTCCAAATCTTCATCTCTGTAAACGTTTTACCAATCCACATTTTCCCAGCAGTGTGCAGGAGTAGGTGAACATTCTGTGCCATCTTTCCTAACACCTGCAGCCAGTCTTTCCTGACTCATAATTGCAGAAGGTCAAAAGTTAACTTATGTTGATTAATGCTCTTTATAGGGCTGTGGAGTGAAGTCGGCTTTAGTTCATGTTGGTTGGATATTTTCATTTCCTCGCTATAACGAAGTGCCTACTTAGAGCATCATCACATTTCCTGTACTTGGAGGTTTGATTTGCAGGAATATCTTGAACTCCAAAGTGTGATTTTTCTTGTGAATGCATCTTACAACCTTTTTCAGGTTAATTTAAAATAAATATGATCTTGTACAAATCAAAAAACTTGGAATTTGAAGACAAATCTGCTTTTCTAGTATTTTATGGTGACTACCTTTGAATGATCAATTTAATGGTCTTCTCTATCCAATACCTAATAAATATCTTTAATATCAATTCTACGGATAATTTTGACCTCAACTAAAGTCAGGAACTGAAAAAAAATAAACTGTGGAGAAAATGTACTAGGTCCTTAAATGAGGAGATAACAAGACTTGGAATCGAGTCAGACAAGACTTGGGATGGAGTCAGACAGAAGTCAATCTCAACATGATTACACTCATGCATAGCTAGGTAATAAAGGGGACATGTTGAGCTTCACTTAAGCATGTGGGATTTTCTTTCCTCAACTTTTTGTCATCTGAGGAAGCTAGTCAAGAATACCCGAGAATAGCCAGCAGGACCAGTTTTTTTTTGATTCCTTTAGTTTAGAATCCCAGCACCCAGGAAGTATGAGCAGAATTGCTGAGACCAGTCTCCAGCACACTGAGCACCTCTCAATGGCTTAGAGGCATTACTTCTCAGATTGCTTATTAATCTGTCCTTGCCAGGTAGAAAGGGGCTTATGTAGGATTCTTTGGAAGATCTTGATTTTCTGAGTATTTTGTAGATATTTTTTCTAGTCTCAGTTTTGATTGAAGTTTATTTTCAGAAATTATGAGAAGTTTCTAGCATGCAATAACATTATTAAAATTGTATTAAGAATATGTAGCTTCATCTCTTTTTCAATAAATATTCCCTGTGTCATTTAAGTAGGACTCTGGAAGCATGCAGGCTTCGACAATCCCAGACATAGCAGTATGCACATGTCATCCAGGAAGTACAAATAAATGTTTCCTTCTTAAATGTTGTTTTTCTTTCATTTTGTAGAGTTTTGTAATCTTTAACCGGTGGCTCCCTACACCCTCATAAGCAGTTTGTTATTTCCTTCCAGGAGTTCAACATTTTTATAGACTTCTCACAGAAGTGAGTATACTTGTACACTCCAATTAGAAAGTTGAATTTATAATCAAGCTTTTGCATACAGTTTTAATTTGGGCTTAATGTTTACAGATATCATTACATCACATGTTATTTTATTTTTTATTATTCATCATTTTTTAAATTTATTTTACACACCACCCAGTTTCTTCTCTGTCTTCTCCTCCTCTTCCCTCCCTCTGCCTCCCTTCTATCCACCGCCATCTACTCCCTCTCATCTCTATTCATATAGAGTAAGCCTCCCATGGGAATCAGCAAAGCATGGCATATCAAGTCGAGGCAGGACCAAGCTCCACCCTCTTCTATCAAGGCTACAAAGTATCCCACCAGGGAGAATAGGTTCTAAAGAACCAGCTCATGCAACAGGGACAGGTCCTGGTCCCACTGCTAGGGACCCCACAAAGGCCCAAACTACACAGCTGTCACCCAGATGCAGAGGTTTAGATCAGTCCCATGCTGGCTCCCCAGCTGTCTGTCCAGAGTCCTTGAGTTCTCACAAGCCCAGGTCAGCTATCCCTCTGGTTTCCCCATCATGATCTTGACCTCCTCCTCTTTCTCATATAATTCATCCACCTTCCCTTCCAACTCTACACCATGAACTTGGCCCAGTGCTTAGCTGTAGATTTCTGCATCTACTTCTATCATTTACTGATGAAGGCTCTATGAGGACAGTTAGGGTAGTCACCAATCTGATTACAGGGGAAGGCCAATCATCATAGAGCCTTCATCAGTGCATTTTATTTTAAAGCCTGCGTTATGATGTCCTTAGTGAGGCCACTAAACTTTCAGTGAACAAAAATGGTCTTTGTAATGTTCTAGTGTTCCCTCACTGCTCTTCTGCCTCCCATGGGTCTTCATTTACTTGTTTCCCACTTGAGCTCCTGGCCTATTTACCAGCACCACTGTCACGTCTGTGTGCACAGATGAACTCAAATCTGAGATTAAAATGACTTTTGAAAATCTGTCTCAAACACTGTATGGTCAGAAAGATATTAAAACAAAAAATGTCAATCTAAAAGTAAAATTTCACCAGAGCAGCCTTTTTATTTGCTATCTTTTAATTTTTGATCTTACAAATATGCCCTCATCTAGCTTAATTCTTCTACTTTCCTGGATCTGGAGTGCGTTGTGTCCTCAGCAAAATGTCTTACCTTCAATTTCTGAGAGACAACCAAGGGTAGCAGAAAAGCATGTGATATTTAAAGGGGAGGTTGTCTATGATGGAGTGCATTGCCTGTCAGTAGTGTGTTTGTTAGATAGTCTGTGGCTTCTGGGGGCAAGTGTTATCACTCATTGTGACACAACACACATACACACACACACACACACACACCACATTTTAAGTTAGATTATACAACATGTGTGTCTATAATCTAAAATCCTTTTCTCAGAAGTATCCGAAGATACCTTGCATGCTGCCAAGGGAGACTAATTTTGCACAGTTGTTGTGCCTTTGATTACTGGTGCAGGAGAATTTTCCGTATTCTGTCAATCATGTTTTAAATAAACGCTGATTGGCCAGGCAGGAGGTGTAGGCGGGAAAACCAGACAGGAAGTGGAAATGATGCAAGGAGAACAGGAGAATTCTGGGGAGGAGAAAGTGATTCTTCCCACTCCTGCCCAGATCACCGAAGCAGCAGGATGTGAGCTGCTCCACTGAAAACGGTACTGAGCCACATGGCTAACATAGATCAGAAAAATGGGTTAATCAAGATGTGAGAGTTAGCCAGTAAGAAGTCTGACCTAATGGACCAATCAGCATTATAACTTACGGAGTCCTTTGAGTGATTTTTTCTCTGGGACTGAACAGCTGGGGGACCTGGCAGGACAAAAAAACCCCAACAAACAGCCCCCCTCATGTTACAGACTACAACAATGACAGCCCAACAAGATTTCCCCAGTGGTGCAATAGTGGCACTTATAAGTTGGAGTTAACTAACAGATATCTAGATAGATTTAATTGTTAGTTCAATACGAGGAAATTCATGCCTGGTACTACCAATAATCCATGGCTGGAGAGGTCATAGACACTAAAGGAGAAATCACTTTTACCACTTTTCCTAATCTACTTTTATTTTAAAAATTTATCCTTATGCCCATAAACAACTGTAGCTCTTACCCCCTTATCAATGAAGCTTTTTAAAGTTTATTTTTTTGCAGTATACAGAGGCTACTAAAGGGACCCAAATATGATCAAAATGCAGGGAATACATGACTATGTTATACATATCCATAGTTAGCACATCTCAGGCTCTGGGAACATAATGGAAAAGAGAGTCGAAAGACTGTAAGAGCCAGAGGACAAAGATGTCAGCTGCAACATAGCATCTTCTAGATATGACCCCATGAAATATCAATAATGCCCTTGTCTAAACAAGAGCTGTATAATAATCACACCATTCAACACACAAAAGGAATAGGAGAACCCACTAGGCCATGTCCCTAGATAAAAAATTTCAGGAACCAATGGTTGGAGAGGGAGGGAGGGAGAGAGGGAGGGAGACAGGGAGGGAGAATCAGTTTTCTTTGTGAATGAACACCCTGGGTACCATCCCAAATGGCCAGCTCTAAACACATGTGTATGTATGAACAACATTAAATAGAGTCAGTGGTGTGTGTGTGTGTGTGTGTGTGTGTGTGTGTGTGTGTGTGCATTAGCAATAATAATTGTAAAAGAAGAAAGAGGTCATGAGTCTGAGAGCAAGCTGGGGAAGGGAGGAGCTAAGGAAAGGGGTGAGATTGATGCAAATACAGTTTACTTGTGTATAAAACTCTCCAATTAAAAATTTAAAATACCCTTTATTCTGATTTTGAGAAGTGACACCGTTTCTTGGAAGAATGGGTAGCTTGGTCCTTTGGCCAAGGCCAAACATCATCACTGAGATGAGGTAGACATGGAGAAGAACTTGCCACAGTGATACTAATATTTACTGCCATCCTGATATGTGTTAGATTCACCATGGAAACACACTTCTGGGTATATCTCTGAAGCTGTTTCCAGAAATGCTTAACTAAGGAGGGAAAGTCCATGGTGAATGACATTATCCCATGACCTGTAGCCCTAGACTGTATAAAAAGAAAAAAAAAACTAAAGGGAGCATAGGCATTCTTCTTCTGTTTCCCAACTGGGGATATGGTGTAACCAACTGGGGATACAGTATAACCAACTGGGGATACAGTGTACCCACTGGGGATACAGTGTAACCAACTGGGGATACGGTGTAACCAACTGGGGATACAGTGTAACCAACTGTCTCATATTCCTGCAGCCTGCGATTCCCCACCATGAAGAATGTCCACTGGAACTAAGAGTCAAAAATCAACCATCCTTTCCTTAAGTATTCTTCTTTGCTTTATTGTCACAGTAGTAAGGAACGTAACGAATACAGTGTCTTACCTGGGCCCCACATCTCCATGCACTGCTGCTGCAGGGTGGGACAGTTGCCCCTCAAGCAATAGCCGTGCCCATTTTGGCAAGGAAAGCCATTGACTCTGAATCTGTCGACTGGGCAGTGACTGGATTTACCATCACACATTTCAGGCAGATCGCACTCATCTTTTGCTGCTCTGCACACAACCCCAGCGTTTTTAAGCTGCAAGAAAAGAAAAATAGAAAATATGTGTCACCCTGCTCCTTGCAAACACTGACACCCAAGAGTAACACAAACAAATCCATTTGGTCTTCTGGGCCATGACATACTTTTATTATTGTAATTTATTTTTGCATTACATCCTTGTTGTGTCATTAGTGTTGATGTTGACCAATACCCCGAGCCTTTGAACAATTAGTATTTTGAATTTACAATACAAACACTAGAGAAGCATATAGTAAAATAAGAAGCATGCCAGGCAATGTCTCAGATGGAGAGCAGAGAGTTGCAACTCTCATTTTGTTGAATGCTTCTTTTTGTCATGATTTATGAGTTTTAAGTTGGCAACTTCAGGATTTGCTGGTTAAGTGAACCTTCTGCTGGAAAGAGGACAACTTTCCAAGTGCCAGATTCGCATACCTCAAGACTTTCCCAGGCACCAAGTTTCCTCAATTCCTTTCATTCTAGATTTGGGTATTTCTTGTCAACTCTTGCTATGGAATGTTGCATTGTGAAGAAAGAAATAACCAAGGATGCTCTTGTAACATGAACTCTGTTGCAATGGTACTGTAAATTTTGCCCTTACTTCCACAGAGAAACCTTGATTAAAAAACAAACTCCTCTGCCACTTCAGCAAATCAGAGGAGGCTTATGCTTTGCCAGCTGTGTGAGTAGGCACTGTTCATCTCATGAACCAAACAACTGTCAACTGTTTTAATACCAGTTACAGGGCCAGACCAAAACTGTAGTCAGAGGTTACCGACCTGAATGTAATTCCCATTGCTCCAATCAACCTGGTTCTCTTATACCAAACCACACCAAGTCACTTCTCCTTCCTCTCTTATCAATTAGTCATTCTTTCTTTTGATGTCTAAACCTAAACCTAAAATCAATTCCTTTCTGTTTCCCAGTCATCAGAAATACCGCTTTCATGTGACCTGTTCTCTGGTCTCCTCAGTATAGATTTCTGCTCATTTTCTCTTCTATATAGTGAGGGTGAGCCCTTGAATTTAGATTTAAATAATGTGGTTTTGAATTTGGGTGCTGATTTAAGATATAAGAAGTTCAAAACACTTTCCTAACAAATCCATCAGTACAAGTAGGTCCTATTCGTTGATATTATGCCTTCTAGGGAAAACCTTAAAGTTGTAGGAACCCATGAAGACAAAGCAGAAGGGGAAACTCCCAATAGCCTTGGAGCTGGTCACATTTGTTCATGTTGATTTTTGTACTCAATAATGACCATGTTTTGTATTTCTCAAAAATTATACTGTATAAATTCAAGATGAACAATGTGACATTTCAATGTGTGTGTGTGTGTGTGTGTGTGTGTGTGTGTGTGTGTGTGTGTGTG